TGGCCTGGGGCGTCCACAGGATCTACCACAGCAAGACGAAGGTCGGGAAGTACCGGCTGCAGGAGCAGCAGGAGCGGCGGCGGCGGCAGATGGAGATGGGGCAGGCGGGACCCCCGGGCTGCTCCCGGGAGGTGGCCGCGCTCAACGGCTCCGCTCCCGACGCTCCCGGGGCTCCCGGGGCTCCGTAGGCGGGAGGAGGAGGCGGTGGAGGGGCTGGAAGCCCCCTGCCCATCCCGGGACGGGACCCGGGGAGGGGACGGTGACGGTGGGGATGGTGACAGCGGGAGCCGCGGCGGGGTGGTGGCTCTGCAGGGGGACCGTCCCCGGGACAGAGGTGGCAGCTCCCAGGCCGGGATGTGCCGGGCCGGGAGGGGCATCCCGGGAAGTTGGGATGGTGAGATCCCACCGACCCCCCCCGTGTCCTGGATCTCCGGGGATCTCCAGGGATGGCTCCAAACTTTACCCCTACCTGGTTTTTGGGTGGCCGGAGCCCCCTGCCAGGGTGACACCAGAGGGGCTCGGAGCTCCAGGTGGGACACGTGGGTGAAATCCCGGGATTTCGGTGCCGGCAGGAGGGCGAGGAGCCGGAGAGGAGGGATGTGAAGCCACCAGAAAGGGTGGAAGCTGCTGTTGTTCTGTAATAAACCCACAAACGCTGTGTGTGACCCGCTGGGCCTGGATTGGGCCGGGCCACCAGAATGCCGGGCATTTTCCGGGCCCCCGGAGCGGGAGCATGCGCCGCTCCCCACACACCCTGTTCCTTCCTCCCGCCACCATCATTTCCTCCGGCCCTGACGAGGCCGCGGGGCCCGAGGGACGCGGGGACAGAGGGGTTGGGGGGCCGGAGGGACTGGGGGGCCCTGCTGGGATGGGCAGCGGGATCAGGGGGTGACCGGACCCTGGGTGGGGTGTCCCCATGTCCCCCCGTTCCGTGCCCGGAGCCGGGATGGGATCCAGGAGGGTCCTCCCGGCCTGGGCCCTGCCCGGGCTGCTCCTGCTGCTCTGCGGTGAGTGCGGGGGCTGCGGGGCCCGGAGCCTGGGGGGCAGCTGGGGGGTCCCACCTCCATCCTGACCTGGGGGGCACAGCCTGGGGGTCCCACCCCCATCCTGACCTGGGGGGCACAGCCCGGGGGTCCCACCTCCATCCTGACCTGGGGGGCACAGCCCGGGGGTCCCACCTCCATCCTGACATGGGGGGCACAGCCCGGGGGGTCCCACCTCCATCCTGACCTGGGGGGCACATCCCGGGGGGTCCCACCTCCATCCTGACCTGGGGGGCACATCCCGGGGGGTCCCACCTCCATCCTGACCTGGGGGGCACATCCCGGGGGTCCCTGGGGGTCCCACCTCCATCCTGACCTGGGGGGGCAGCTGGGGGGACCGTGGGGGTCCCACCTCCATCCTGACCTGGGGGGCACATCCCGGGGGTCCCTGGGGGTCCCACCTCCATCCCCACCTGGGTGGGGTGGTCCTGTGTGTCCCAGCTCATCCCACCTCCGTCCCGACCCGGGTGGGGACATTCCCTGTGTCCCACCTCATCCCACCCTCACCCCAACCCTCCCTCCTGGAGCCATCCCACCCCTCCCAGCTCATCCCACCCTCATCCCACCCTCATCCCAGCTCATCCCACCTGCATCCCACCCCTCCCAGCTCATCCCACCCTCATCCCAGCTCATCCCACCTCTCCCAGCTCATGTCCCCGTGTCCCTCTCCCCCCCCAGGTCCCCGTTCCCCCCATCCCCACCCATCCCACCCTGGAGCGCCGGAGCCGGGAAGGTCCAGGAAGGACAAGGGGGGGGAGAATCACCCGGGATGGGGCAGGAGGGGGGCAGGGGGGGGAGAATCGCCCCATCCAGGGGTGGGGGGACAGGGAAACTGCTGGGATGGGGATGATCCCGGGGGTCCCCTCAGCCTTCCCCCACTGTGCTGGGATGGGGGTGATCCCGGGGGTCCCCTCGACCTTCCCCTTGCTGTGCCAGGGTGGGGATGGTCCTGGGGGTCCCCCCGACCTTCCTTTTGCTGTGCCGGGATGGGACAACGCTGGGGTCCCCTCAACCCCCTCCCGACGGTGTCAGTGACCCCCAGGGAGGGTCCCCTGGAATTCCAACCCCCCGGCTCGTCCCGGCAGGGCCGTGGGGCTCCTCCTTCGAGCTGTGGACGGAGCCGGAGGTGCTGGTGGTGGAGCACGGGGGGTCCCTGCGGCTGACGCTGAGGGCGACCTGCAACGACTCGGCGGGCTCGGGGGGGATGGAAACGGCCAACAGCAAACGGGTGGTGTCGGACAGACCGGGGGAGGTGGAGCTGGAGCTGCTCAACGTCACCGAGGGGAGGCCCGTGCAGGTTTATTACACGTGCGAGGGCAGGAGGGAGAAGAGGGACGTGCGGCTCGTCATCTACCGTAAGCACGGCGGGCACGGGGCCCCACCCGGGCACCCCCTGTGCCTCTGGCACCCCTGGACACCCCATGAACCCTGAGACCCCTGGACACCCCCTGTGCCCCCCTGGACACCCTTGTGCCCCCTGACAGCCCTGGACATCCCATGTCCCCTGAGACCCCTGGACACCCCGTGTGTCCCCTGAGACCCCTGGACACCCCATGTCCCCCCATGGTCCCCCTGCACACCCCATGTCCCCTGAGACCCCTGGACATGCCGTGTCCCCCCGGCCCCCCTGGACACTGATGTCCCCCCAGATGTCCCCGAGCGGCCGGAGCTGGCCGAGGTGCCCCCGCTGGCCGCGGGGCAGCCGTGGGAGCTGCTCTGTGCCGTGGCCGGGGCCGCGCCCGTGCGGAACCTGACGGTGAGGCTGCGGCGCGGCCGCCGCGTCCTGAGCGCCCGGAGCTTCGAGGGGGCCGGGGCCGGGCCCGGGAGGGTGCAGGTGACCCACGGGGTGACGGCGGCGGCCCAGGACGACGGGCAGAACGTCACCTGCGAGGCGCAGCTCGACCTGTCGCCCTTCGGCCCCAACATCAGCGTCACCTCCGAGCCCCGCACGCTGCGGGTCTGTGGTAAGCCGGCTCCTTCCCGGGGTTTTCCAGGGGTTTTTCCGGCTGCGCTTGTGGCCGCAGCACCGACGCTTGTCCCTGTCACCCGCAGACGTCCCCAAGCCGGTGCTGAACGTGTCCAGCACCACCCCGGCCGCGGGCACGGCGCTCACCGGGCGCTGCTCGGTGCCCCCCGACGCCTGCACCGACTTCCAGGTGCGGATCCTCCTCGGGAGCCGCGTCCTGGAGGGGTGGGGACCGTCCCCGCGGGACTTCGGCCTGACGGCGGGCGAGCAGCACGACGGGATGGAGCTGAGCTGCGAGGCCGAGCCCGCCCGGCCCCCCGCGGTCCCCGGGCCCCCCCGGAGGAGCGATCCCACCCGGATCTCCGTCCACGGTGAGGGCGCGGCCCCGGCGCCGTTCCCAAGGGGAGAATTCCCGGCGGGAGTTAACGCGGTGTCCCC